CCTAAACTTCATTCCCATCATCAAATAATGCTTCACAAGCTAGTGGTGCCTATCTGATCGTTTTGTCGTTGTTCCAACGTTCAAGTGGGGCCCTTACTAATTAAATAAAAGAATACATGAGAGAGACAGAGATAGAGAAAGACAGAGACAGAACCGGAGGCAGAGAAAACATGAAAGTTAATGTAGGACAAGTATGTCCTTGTCTTTCTTTCTTTCTTTTTTTATTGTAGAAGGTGTGTCCTTGTTGAGTGAGGCCAAAACATCCCAATTTTACTCCAGACAACATTATTCCAGAATTTAAAAAGGGAAAAAAATAGTTTTTTTTTTGATTCACCGAAAAAAAAAAATAGTTCAAATAATGACTATTGACTACTCTTGATTCTGGAGATAAATTTCGGTTCAAAAAAGTCACAATGAGAGTCAATCTTATCTTATGGTTTATTTTAGCCCAAAACAACGTACGAAAAGAATTGAGCAACATTGCACTCCCACTCCCATTCATAATATGGTCTTGGAGTTCGTATGAGAAAATGGTTGAATCTTGGTTGCTATATATTTTTTTTACTACATGGTATATAGATTTGCACCGATTATTCTCTTGAGTTCAGATATTAGCCGCAGTAGTCTGAGCGAGTTTAAAACATTGGTCCCAAAGAATAAAAGTGATTGACCATTAAAAGGTATGCAAAATGTTGAATATGGGTGCTTTAGATTACTAGAGGTCAGACTTAGCCACTAAATCATTCTTAAAGATTATCTTGAGTGTTAGATTGTGATCAAACGATTAATGATGAATTTGCATCCAATACTTCTACCCTTATATATAATTACCACGGTAAGGACCTACAAAAATTTACCACTAAATAAGAGATTGGTGCAACTCATTTGCAGTCAAGTGACTCAAAATTGTTTGTTACAACCNACCTACAAAAATTTACCACTAAATAAGAGATTGGTGCAACTCATTTGCAGTCAAGTGACTCAAAATTGTTTGTTACAACCCAATAATGCTAGGTTTTGACTCAAAAAAATTGGGTTCAATACTAAAAGGTTAGAAACGAACCTAAAGTGTCTCATTTATTATACCTTTCACTTGATTGAGTCGTAAACTTGTCTTAGCTTTCGGTATTGAAAAATAAACAAATCTTCACTATCCTATAAGCAGCTAGTAATAAAATGCCTTTTGAATACTGTAAAATAGGTAGTATATACAGGTAAAATCATCTCTAATGAAAATTCATTTTCTTATCTAAATTTAAGTAAAAAAAAAGGTAAAAAGCTTTGATTAGTATAAGTGTCTTCAATGGATTAACTTTTTTTAAGATCCAAATCTTTTTTAAAAATTCACAGCTTATCCCAAGAGTTCTTTTCTTTTTTTCTTTTTTTTAATGTTTGCTTCCAATTTTTTTTTTACTCTTTTTTTTTTCACATCGAAAATTTTGAAACACATTCCACAAATAGAATTTTTCCCGTTTTGCAATGAGCAAAGCAAATCAATGAAACCCATATAAAAACAACATATTTTTCCCATTCCACCGATTACAAATCTGTCTGTGTGTGTGTGTAGAAATAAGCTTAGGTAGGAGACGATTTAGTAGAAAGATACAAATCAGTTATACCAATCCAAATTTTGTTGAAATAAGCTCGTGTAGAAATCTGTCTCTGTCCTATTTCGCCGAACACTGAGTGAGCAGTGAAGAGAGAGAGAGTTTACCTAAAGGTAGTAGCGGCAACCGTTGAGAGCTTGGGTAGAAGATGAGATCGACAGCCATTGAGATCTTGTGTAGAAGACGAAATCAATCTGGAGGCATTTGAGAATTTATGCCCGTTGAAAAAAAAGGTACGGTATTTGGGTCTTCCTTCATTTGGGATTAGAATAAAATTTTCCTTATGAATATGAATTTAACATTAGAGAATAATTTTAAGTTATTTTTACCTAAATTTAAATTAGGGTCCAACAAAGGGCTAGTGCTGGAGTTGTTTTAACTACATCTCGTGATAATTCAAAGACTTGCAGGCTGATGACCAAGTGAGTAATAGGGATTTTCACTTTTATCCCCAACAAAGTAGGATTTGCGTTTATTGTGGAGTTTTTCAAGTAGGCTTCTTCTCAGCTTAGGTTATAAGTAAAAATGGTACCTGAGGAGATGGCAATGAGTTTGCCATAGCTCACAAGAGTTAGAACATAGAAGAAAGTAGCAACAATTGTCATTAAATCTGAGTTACACTTCATAATGCAGGGTAGATATCGTAAGTAATCATTAAACCTTGCCTCCAGCTTCAAAATGATCTCTAAACTTTCTTTTGTTTTAATGTAGTTCCTGAACTATTAATTTTGAGTCAATAAAATTCTTCCGTCCATCTCACTCCATAGAACAAATAGCGTGGATGTATAGATGACAGACACTTGAGCTTGTCTCTGTCAGTTCTAACGAGTGAAATGGATAAAAAGATTTTACTGACACGCAATTGATAGTTTTAAAGGTAAATTAAAACAATTGAAAGTTGTGGGGTCATTTTAAGACTGAATATAAAGTTTAAGGATTAATTATGATAATTATTCGATTTAAAACTTGCATATTGTCCATAGTCATAGACATCTGATCATGAACAATGTCAATCATACATGCTCTGTCCAAATAATATATCTCAAATTCAAATTTTTGATTTTGTCAGTCTTTTCAAAGTAAGGATAAAATTGTCTAATAATTATCTCTTTCAAACCCAACAATAAACGGGAGCCTTGGGATTATGTTACATCTTGTTTGTAATGATGGGCATTTAGAAAGAGTTTACCAAATGTTGATTTTAATTGTTCAATGAGAAGGAAATTTGGAATAGAACATCTTAGAATGACAATGTTCTTGACTAGGTTATTTATTTATTTTTTTTTTAAAAAAAATCCTTATATCTGTAATAAGTAATTACATCCAGAATTTAGAAAGATAAACACAATTCCCAAAAAGGGAAGATGCGGAGTCACATTTCAGGGCCCATGATTCTAACTTTAGCACTAAAACATAGACATAAAGGTGGAGATAAAGGGGTGGTCGCTGAACTCTCTTTCTTGCCCCCGCCCCTTTTTTATTTATCAACAACAAAAAAAAAAAAAAAAGAGGTGGAGATGAAAGAAGAATCAATCTTAGGACTATAAGGTGGAGAATAATTATTCTTAGTTTGGTGAAGACCAAAAGGCTTCCATAATAAGTAACTAATATATATATATATATATTTTTATTCCTCCCTTGAAGAAGAGTCCTAGGATCCATCATTTGGTCCTCATACTCCTAACTATAGACGAAAATGAGCCCTTTTATTTCTAAGTTCTCTCATTTGTAAGAGAAAATGGTGCAAGCATTGGCCAGACTAAGATGTCATCCCCACTCCGAATTAGAAAATTAATTAATCTTTTAATATTTTTTTTATTTTTTTTGTGTGCCAACTAAAAGAAGGATCATTTTAGACCATGAGGGTGTTAAATGAGTCTATAATTCCACTTGCCCCCCCCATATTATGATGTTTGTGTTATTTTGTCCTCTCAGTTTTCATAATTTTCATATTCTATCTTTAATTATAGTAATAAATTTTATATTTTCTCCAACAATTAATGTCCATTCAATATTTTGACAAATAATTGTTTTACTTTGTTGCCGAATTATGTGAGTTTATTTCACTGTGTCTCAAAAAGATAATCATCATTTTCGTTTTGGATAATATAAAACTAATTCAAGTAGATGATGGGGTAGTTCAATGGTTGAGCTCGTCCAGAGATTTCAAGTTCAATTCCTTTTCACACTTTTTAAAAGTTAGTCACTTTTGTCCTTTTAGAGATATGTTCTAACTCAGTTCAAGTTATTGTAATCAACCATTAAAATCGAAAGAATAATCGGTGTAAATTTAAACATTCTATAGTAAAAAAATAGTTAATGGAATAATGTGATAAATTTAATAATTTAAAGTGAATAAATGAGATGAATGTCATAGTTTACAAGGGCAAAGTATAATTAACCCCGTGTGCAACTGATACGCCAAAGTTGTCACATGGGAAAAGTCACTCTCTTTGAAGATTTCGGCAATCTTGGAAGTCCTCTGTCCGGTATTCTATGATATTACTCTGTTCTCTGTACTCTGTAGCAAGTGACATGGCAAGAAAGTCTCGTTCAGAACAGTATCCTTTTGGTGAAACTCACAATTAGAGTATCAAAACCGGCATGGGCACATGCAAAGAGAAATTTGCGGGAAAAAACAAAAATTGATATAAGTAAATCAGATATTGGTCAAGGTTGTAGAAAGAGTAAGACTTGTTCAATCGAACCGGAGCCTAGATCTAATTAGGTAACACGTGGTACCGACATTCCACCACACTCACACCTTCATCCCCGTCAATCTGTGCTGATTTTTGACTCTGTTGATTGGTAACATGTTAGGTTTGCAGTGTGCTTTCTCGACCATTTAGTCTCTCTCTCTCTCTCTCTCTCTCTCTCTCTCTCATTTTCAGCAGCAATCCCTTATTCTTCAATTCCCATTATAAAATCCATAATTTCAGGACATCAGCATACAAATCTAATCCAAGTATCCAACCCCCCTGCCCCCTTTCTCCCACAGAATTCAAAGATATGTGATGCAGTTTCAGGTGGGTCTCTGATATTCTGGGCCTCATTGATGGTTCTTGGACTTTGCCTGTTTTTTAAGGTATTTTTGAGGTACTCTTTCCAGAAGGGGATCTGGGTGTCTTCAAAACTCTAGTTTCCTATCTGGGTTACAAAGATTTGGGGCTAGAGATATCCATTTTACCAAAAGCCTTATCTGCGTAAATCTAGCGTCCATCTGGGTTACAAAGATTTGGAGCTAAAGAGATTCAATTTACCAAAATCTCATCTGGGTTTCTGTGATTTTAAAAGTCTCTAGATTTGGAGCTCAAAGGGTATTCAAGAATCACTCCTGATTTTGGGCACCATTTGTTTGTTCTTCATGTTATGGTTAAGCCATCAATTAACAGAATGCCAACAGGAAATGGGTTGTTTTACCCAATCATTGGGTTTGCATCATGTGTTGCATTCATTTACTTGTCTTTTGGGGATCTATGGGTCAATTTCCATAAAGAATCAAAATTGAGTTTTGTGGAGAGGAATGGAACTCATTTCATGGTGGACGGTAGAGTCTTCTACATTAATGGGTGGAACTCCTACTGGATGATGGACCATGCTGTGGATGAATTTAGGAGACCCAGAGTCAGAGCAATGCTGCAAGCTGGTGCCAAGATGGGTCTCACCGTGTGTCGAGCTTGGGCCTTCAATGATGGTGCCTACAATGCACTCCAGATTTCCCCTGGTCAATTCGACGAGCAAGTGTTCAGGGTAAAGAATTTTCTGCAATTATAAGTATCCTTGTTTCATATTGATAAGTTTCAGTTCACTAATCTTTATTTGAGATGAATGAAAAAAATAAGCTATGCAAAAGGTAAATTATGAAACAAAGAGAATTTAAACAAAAGTTGGATCTGCTTGTACGCTATATTTGCTTTGTGTGTCTGGAAATTTCTGGTTCAACTAGGAGTTGAGTCAGGTAAAATAGATGAGATTTCATGGTTAAGTAAACCTTCTTATTCTCATTATGTGTGGCCAATTAGGAAGCACGGATACGGACACGAGGATAAGGTAAAAGTAAAAAATATAGGACACGGCTATGTCGAGGATACGGCTATTAAAATAATATAATATATTTTTTAAATAATAATAGAGTTGTAATATATTATAATAATATTAATAATAAGACCTAAAAAAAATTAATTTTGATTAAATTGAAATAGATCAAAATAAATATGCATCATTACATCCATTGACATTTATAGTATATAAGTTACATAACAAAAATTATATATAAAAATAAAATAAAATAACACCTCTTTTAATAGTCAACAATTTTTTTTAAAAAAAAATTTTCCTTGCTGTATCCTGACCATGTATTAGACGTATTCTGGCCGTATCCTCACTGCGTCCGACTAGATTCACTATCTAGGATACTTCTAGTCGTGTCCTACACTACCACGGAACCCCTCAGAGATGTATCCGTGCTTCCTAGACGGCCAAGTATCTTTCAAATTTCACCCCGAGGCACTGATATTTTCAAGGAATTGTTTATGGCTTTCAATTTTGCCTATCAACAAAACAAACCAATGTGAATTGGAAGTATTAATTTGGTTCATGTTAACATTGCTGTCTTCATTTCACTATTCCTTGATTGCCTATTGAAATTATGTTCCTTGTTCAAGTGTTCTCACTGTACCGATTCATTGATATGTCTGGTGGATGTTTCTGAACCTTCATTTTATCTTTGTTTGGAAATTGCCAAAACACGTGTCAACTTCAAATTTTTTTCAACTCTCAGTAAGTGTAATCATTTACTTGTATCATAAGGGATTTTCCTTTTCTATTGATTTGATTCTTCGTTAATGGGGTTTGGACAGTTTGTTTTCCTATTTGGCTCCTTATTGTGTGCCTTAATACTGTCGCAGGCCTTGGATCATGTCATTGCAGAAGCCAGGCAACATGGAATTAGGCTGCTACTCAGCTTAGTTAATAACCTACAAGCATATGGTGGGAAGACTCAGTATGTCAAGTGGGCCTGGGAAGAAGGCATTGCTTTAAGCTCATCTAATGATTCATTCTTCTTTGATCCTTCTATCCACCGTTATTTCAAGAACTATGTCAAGGTAAATAATTTATCTCATCAGTTTTTTTGTCCTCCAAATAATAAATTTAAACTCAAATCACGACTTCATGTGGTTGTCTTCTTGGAGAGTCTACGAAAGTTTATATGAGGCTTTCAGATACATTCCAAAGTTCAAGTAATAACAATATGTTTTCCATGCATCACAATGTGGACTGTTACAGGGGTTATGATGTCTGTTTCCACTGTTTTATTTTGCTCCCAAGTTCTTGTGACTTCAGGACAACCCTCGAAAGGTACAAGATCTTTTTCATATATGCATCAAAGAAGACCATCTTTATCAAACACCTGGTTATGGGACATGCAAAAAAGAAGAAAATGATGACAGAAAATAAGCGTTTGCAGATCCCTATGAAGTATTGGAATGTGATCTTTATATACGCTAGTCATATTTTTCTGAAGCTCTTTAACCAAGTTCCCTCATCCTAGGTTTAGGAATAAACCATCTGACTGCTTAAGTTGCATCCACGTTTATATCCATCTCTTAAGCTTATGTAAAATGGAAGTTGAAGCAGTTCACCTTTTCCACATGCATTAGCAACCCACTTGGATAACATTGTGAGGAAAGTTTATCATACTAATATGACCAAGTTAAAATGAGGCGATGCATGGTAGTTTGACAATGCCTTTATCAAAGCAAAGTGCTAGAGAAGCATTTATGTCTATTTAAATGCTATCAGAACCACTGGTTACAGTATGGCACTTAACGTTTTCCTAGAATGATCCAAAGCCCCGTAAGCACAATTAAACCCTATTGATTAAATAATCTGCACTGTAGGAATTTTGCTATCAATGACTGCGGAAACTCTTACATTATTATGCATTGTTGCAAGTTTTCATATATATAATGAATTAATGATTAGCAAGTGGATTATAGGAATGTTTATCCTATGATAGTAGCAAGTCACCTTATAGAAGATTCGATGCAGAGAATGATCTGAAAATTCAGGGATCAATCCTGAAAAATGTTAAGAAGCCATTCTACCTGCAAATCCAACTATGGTTTTCAGAAATGGTTTCGGAAAAAGATCAGGATAGTGACTAGAAAAACACTTGTTGATTTTACTGTACAATTAAACAACATGAACATATTATGGCTGAGTGAAGTGTTTGATTGACCCCCAGAAAAAAACTGATTATGGTATCCCACAATATGCTCTAACCTGCACACACCCCCC